ATAAATATAAATAGTATGAATTAATTTGTACATAGTATTTCTAATTCTATCTTATTTACATTTTTTGGATTCCAGTTCTGTTCTAGTTTTATTTCTGACTACATTTCCCTGACAACGCCCTGCTGAAAGTTGGTGTTATCTGACCCAAACCTTGTGATGAATCCCAGTTTAATGAGATGCTCAACCTGACCCCAACCTCACCCGAACCATGAGAACCACCCCCAACCAGATGGGTGGTTACAAGAAACATCATTTTGACAGCAAACACTAGAGGAACAGACATGTGCTATATTCCCAACCATTTGGTGTACTGTATCATATTGATGTGATTCAAAATTGTGTTAAAGCAATTGAAAAGCGAGTACGGCTAGTTTGTGGGAATGTGGGCACAGTGAAAATTTTGGAGCTAAAGTGAATGAGGTTAAACATTTTTGAATAAAGTTAACATTCTTCAGTACTCGTCCTACAAGCAGCTTTCACAAGATCCTTTATGACAGAGAGAAAAACAATCCGATAGGCCACCGACAGCCCAAAAACCATAGATTAATTTGCCAATATATTTGCGCAGGTGTGTGTGTCTTTGTGCACCCCTATCAGTGAATGCATGGAAGAGCTCTTTGCAAAAAAAAAATACAAAATCAAGTATTTATTTTGGCTTTAAATCAGACACAACCAGCAAGCTGAGGGAGAAAGGGCCTAAGCAAAGTAATATGTCATCTATGCAAATGAGACATTGAGTAAATTTTACTGTAGAGCGCTTTGAATGGTCATCAAGACTAGAAAAGTACTATATAAATACAGACCATTTACCAATTACAAGTGATACACCTTGATTACTTTTGCTGTACTTTTGAATTAGTGCTGTTGAAATTAATATTATACTTAACGTACCAGGTCAACAGGTAAACATGGAAGAAGTTCAGGGGATATGTCTAAATTATTAGTCAGTCAATCTGATCATCAGATCTCTTACCTTGATAAGAGCATACTCCAACCTCTCCTCCACACTTGCTTGTCTCCACTCGTCCGTCTGAATCACCTTCTTCCCTCCTTTCACATTGCTCTGCTAACAAGAGAAGTTGAGTCAACATCTGCTGACCAAACCACAGCAACATCAGCTTGATGTGCTGTTGAAGCATGTAGTTGTGTATGCGTTTACTTGTGTGTAGGCCAGGAGCTTCTCAGTGGCTTCAGTGTCCCTGTTCCAGATGAGGTTTTCACAGAGCAGGAGCAGCTCTTTATCAATGTCATCATACACTGGCAGGTTTCCAGCATTCACTATACCCATATCCATACCATCCTGGGACAGGAGAGAGAGTGTGAGTGTTATTATTTACATAACTTAAGGCACTTCTCCTCTGTTTTGTAGGAAAAACTTCAACATTTACTTTCTTCTTTACGCAGTTTTCCTCTTCACTTCTGGTGCACCACTTTCTGTTTGACCTAACAACAAGATATAATTCCCTTCCTGCAAGCCAGGTACCAGCAAGGTTAGCATTAGTTATTAGGGTG